TGATCACGTCTACTCAGGCCACAGATGAGACGCACGCAAGAGTTTTGAATGAGTTGAAGACGCTGGAGATCTTTTTTAGTTATGGCGGGTCCGTAGATGATGTCCGCATAATTTAAGTGAGAGAGAACTAGAGACTCACATAAAGTAATTTTACTACGTTTGTCTAAGACTTTTCTGTTGGCATAAATCAATTTCAAATTACAAAAAGCGCGCCTGATGACCATATTGACATGTCTGGTGTAGTTTAGCGACGTATCAAGTATAATCCCAAGGTTCTTTGAACTTTCAGACAGAGGAAGTATACAATCCTTGATTTTGATGATAAAGGAATCCGAACAACGAGCACGGGCTTCTTTTTTACCAAATAACATGGCAACCGATTTCGTAGGGTTAATGGACAGGTATGAATGCCTACAACCTGTTTATGGCATTTCCCATTGGAGTATTTGATAAAAAATCTTGAATTATTCATATTACCCGGTCGAAGGGCTACATATTTCTTATAGATTTTCAAATAATTATCACACGTCACTGTGAAGGATCTAGGCCTGTTTGTCTTCGTTATAGGTATCTTTATTAATAAAGCGGATTCCAAGTCTTTAATGTCTTCTATTTTCATTTTTGATAATTCATCACGTCTTAATGCTCCAGCTACTCCAAAAATAAGCGCAACCTATAAATAAATGCAAAATTAATCCATGAAAGAAGTTTTTACTTAAAAAAAAATATATAAAAAAACCGTGCTAACGGGATTTGAACTCGGGATTTCCGCACCAGAAGCTCAGTCTCTGACTACTAGGCTAATGAGGCCTATGTTAATATCTTTCGTGATTGTTATTCATAGCGTACACTTTTCCTCTCGTACATAATTTGAATACATATTTGAATATTCAACATTATTTTAATAAGATCAGTGAAAATTACTCCTTACCTTAGTCATCAGATATCTATGATCTGGTGCTTCAGAGATAAATCTATCAATCTCTTCTTTTGTCAGCGTTTTAGACTTTTTGGGTTGATATCCATTAGATTTACGCTTGAGATAAGGAACTAATTTGGAATAGTTGCCTATATTAATTCCATGATTAATGTTCAGAGTGGCTTTTAGCATTGAGTATTGACTCCACAAGGTGGATGGCTTCATTGTAGCAGATAAATCGGATAAATAAGATATGATAACATCTTCAGATAAAGATGATACCTTATTCGTTCTCTTCCAGTCCATAAACTTTCTGTAACTGTTTTCATATACAGTTTTAGATTTTCTTGGTAGCAGTTCTAAAGTGGCAATATTAGCCTTTTCTCTTATGTTTGGGGGAGTACATGATATATCACTATCGCTGTCACTATCCATCTTCATTTTAATTTTTGGTTCAAAATATGTGGGGTTTTGACAACTTGACGTTCTTTTTGGTACTGTACAAAAAAGAGTTTACTTTTCTGTACAATTGCCATGGAAACTGGGCAAATACCTAAATAGCCTACTTTTGGTATGAAAAATCATGAAATAATAACTTCATATTATAGTGGTTGGAAAAAAATATATTTTTTTCAAGAAGAAGGTTGATTTGAGTCGAGTTAGGTTAGATTGTTTGGAAAAAGTAGTGTCCTTTTTTATGCAGTCTTCAAACTCATGTTGAAAAATAGATTTTTTCTAAGAAGGTTTATTTAAGCCGAGTTAGGTTAGATTGTTTAGAAAAAGTAGTATCCTTCCTTATGCACTATTTGTTCCGCACTATTTTGTCTAGCTCTGTTCAATAACAAAGCCCATTTTTTCCTGACGTTATTTCCATATATGATCGTCAGAGAAGTAGTAATTTGGGAATTAATCAACGACGAATAGTCTTCAAGAAATTGATAAGAAGGGTATTCATTAGAATCAAGTTATTGTTTGAATACTAGAAAGAACTTTTGTGAAACAAAATTTGAGGGTCGAAGATTGCGCTGATTTCAGCTATGCTAAATCCGATACAACTTGGTAACCACGCATTTCCTCACCACTGGAATCGGATTTTTGTTTACTCGTTACCATGACGATCGTTGCCATGGCAATGGTTTTTCCATAACTGATTTCAGCCAAACTAAACCCGATACAACTTGGCAACCACGCATTTCCTCACCACGGAAATCAGGTTTTTGTTTACTCCTTACCATGACGATCGTTGCCATGGCAACAGTTTTTCCATAACTGATTTCAGCTTCAGCTATACTAAACCCGATACAACTTGGCAACCATGCATTTCCTCACCACGGGATTTTGTTTTCTGTTTACCTGTTACCATGACAACGGTTGCCATAGCAACAAATTTTCCATAACTGATTTCAGCTAAACAAAACTTGAACCAAAGGCGCCGTACATTATGTTATTTCTCGGCAAGTTTGAGGCAATGCAATTTTCTCAATTTATTGCGATTCGCTGTACATCTAGATATTTCTGTCATATTTTCTTGTTCATATTCACTATTTTCAGTTTTTTTGAGCCTTCAATGTACTTTTCGAGGTTATTTGGTGTTTCAGGCCACGTTATGGAGAAAATTAGTATTTTATCAAGATGCTACGATGAATGTTACTAAAAATTTTACTAAGCTTGCCTTGAAATTGCAGGAAAAATAGGACTGGTTCTATTACGAAACTTGCATGAAACTTGCCGTGAAATATCATAGACGAGTACTCATCAGACAGTCCAGATGTCCAGATATTTAGCCGTCATTTGCTATGGGAATAAAATCAACTTTAGCAAGTTCAGCAATCCAAACGAACAGATACGGCGTGTTTTTCATTCCATCGAAGAAAGTGCGCACTGATAGATGCGGTTTTTTGTCGTGACGTCATCAATTGTTCTGTTGGAATTTATGCTGGAAGGATTGAACAATGGTTTATACAACACATTGATGGAAACACGGATTTTGTTGTGTGTCAGTCATCATGTATCTTGAGAATCAGAAAAGGCTAATTCGACTTTATTGATTAACACTGACTCTTTGTTCTAAAATCTCCCAAGAATCTCAAAAATCCTCAATATTAATTGTTCTCTATCAAATCAAAACAAAAAACAACACTAAAATGTGCCAACTGTCATGTCAATCTCCTCCAAACTGCTGGATTCTCGAAATGCGATTTAAAAGTGCGCATTTTATTACAACAGTTTGATGGATGTCCATCAACATTCCAGCGGAATTTTGCAACAGTTTGATGGTTTCTTCGATTCATGCGCATGATAAAATGTTGGAATGAAAAACGCACCCTATATATTCTGCAGGAAGTTTTTTCAAGAGATTTTGATGTTCAATACCATTTGTTTGAAAACCTTCGGACAAGTTGGACGTTTATGAACTTCATGTGACGTAATGACTTTTTGGTCCAATTCCGACATGAAACTAATTGAACATTCTAGAACAAGCGATCTTGACATGGTTTCTTGAGAAGTACACAAACTATCTATTAGGTTACCTTTGATAAGCATAGCCCTGGCCATCCCTGCTACATCCACAATATAATAACAGTTTCACCAAACAAATATATGAAATTCTTTCGAGTTCCAACTCGGATTCCAAGGAAAACGATCCCACTAATTCTGGTTTCTTATGACAAATCTTGACATAATACAATGTTTGTCCCCCAGCAACCTGTCAAATGACGTAATTCAGGAATGATTAATACCGAATTCCATTCGTAAACCTGGTGGTGCACTGGTTTTGCACCAGTTTTGCACCCGCACTACGTTTAAAATTATTGTTGGAGGTTAAATCAGACAAATTGGTTTGTCTTTGTTTATAACTTGTCTGCATCCTGATATTCTTCCTTATCTTCAATAAAGAACAAAGTAAATGTTTCATGGAAATAATTTTGAGTACTTTTTTTGATGAGTACCTCTTCATCATTGAATTTGCAAAATACTTTCAACAAAATTATGAATTCTTGAAAGTAATCACCTTTATTTTATTGAAACCTCCAACTATTCATCACTATTTGATGATGATAATTAAATTGCCATTAACAATTTGGTTTTCAAACTATTCATATTCAATTTTTCCGCCATTTTCAAAACTGCACTTACTTCGCACGACCTATTAGAGCTCGTGCGAGATTTGTTGCACTGACTAGAGAGCCAGTTTTCCAAACCCGACACCAGAATACAAAATATGCACTCAGTGGGAGTTATACCAATGGAATTCGCTATAAAATGCCTGTCCACTTATAAACATGAAACCAGGGTGGATAGAATATCAACCGGCATGGAACTAAGAATCTGAGCCATCTTAAATCTGACTTTTATAGAACTAAGCTAAAATTTCATCATCTTTCCTACGACTGCATGACGAGCGATGCGAAAAGTACGAATGCACCCTCCTGCCTCCTGTCGCGATCCAAATTAAAGCTTTCAGTTGAAGTTGAAAGGCACGTTTTACGCAATGAACTCGTTAAAGTAAAAGTTTGTAGTTAGTTAGTAGAGAGTTGAAGTAAACATAGGAATTGACAGCTACGCTTGAGCATTTTTCAATTCTTCAAAATTATCAAATTCGGGATACCCAAGAAGTTCTCAAGGACAAGAAGTTCTCCCATTTCAACAGGAATTGAATAATCAGAATTCAGATCAATCAGATCTGAACAAACAACCAAAAATTACCAATACAAACCAAAAACAAAATGTATTATTTTCGATTATTATTATGTTACGATGACATTGGCGACCAAATGACGACTTCAACTCATTTAACGGCAATACGTAAACGTTATTTTTCATGGCGTCTACGTGAAGGTCTACGTACAGTGATTACTTCAACTTTCTTTACACAAGCACCTGTGACACAAGTTAAAGTGAATAGGTTATGGTTGCAAACTTGCAAATATGCTTGCAAAGGTCTGATAATTTACGAGTAATACCTTCCTAATATCATAGTATCTCAATATACAATATAAGTATCAAGTCCCAGAATACAGAATATTATAACATCAACATGAATGTAGTTTTTTTCTTCTGTATTATCTTACAAACTTTCATGGTTGTGAAATCAAGTTTAGAAGTAGTGCAAGATGAGGAGCTAATGAATTTGATTAGAACAGAAAAATTTGTTATAGCGTTATTCACGCGCAAATATTGTGATTTGTGTGATAATTACGAAAACGAACTGACTGCTTTAAGAGAGGACTTGGTTGAAACTCTAAATGCCTGGGTGGTAAAAGTTGAAGACAGCCAAATGACTAGGCTCTATAGTCCTGACAAAGAACCAGTCCTAGTTTTTTTTCGACATGGTATTCCACTTCTATATGATGGCCCCTTGAATGATGAATTGATTTTGCATACCTTTACTGCTAATAAAGAACCAGTGACAAAGGAATTGACTGACAGTACATTTGAACATCTGACCCAAGCAGCAACGGGAGCAACTACTGGCGATTGGTTTGTAATGTTTTATACACCTGATTGTGTTGATTGTGCTCGATTGCAAGCAAGGTGGGAGGCAGTTGGTGCCCACTTGAAATCAAGAATGAATGTGGCTCGCATAAATAGAGCAACATCAGGGGCAGCCACTGCCAGGCGATTTGACATATTCAATGTTCCATCATTCATACTATTTCGACAAGGAAAAATGTACCATTACCAGATTAAGAAATTTGATGTTCGCTCTTTTATAGATTTTGCACAAAACTGGTACAAGAATGTAACTCCTGAAAAGGTGCCTGTTCCAAAATCACCATTTGATGATTTTGTTGCATTGGTTGTTGACTATATGAGGCAGAATCCTTGGCAATGGCAAATTGGATTTGGGTGTTTCTTCATAGGGTTGGTGGCTTCATTAATTAATAGATTTACTGGAAAAACTGTACCTGAAAAGAAGCCTGAGAAGAAGAGTAAAAAAAGTGATAGTAAAAATAAATAATGAAGGAGAAATTGTTTTTGTATTTCAATATATTTTTTAAAATAAATGCCATCTTTTTAAGTCATCAATCAACTTACTGAGAGACTGAGTGTCATCAAATCTTTTTGTCATCAATTAGTAGAGCTGTAGACAGTGTTGGGTTTTTTAGTAGGGATACTTACTCTTCCCATCCCACTAAAATCTAGTATGCATTTTTAATACATTATACTAGATTCGATAAGTGATAAAAATATATAGGAATTTTGAAAATGAAACTTTATTTGGGTAGTTTTGAAACTAAATAAACACTAATATAACGAAAATGGACAAAATGAATTAACTCAGTCAATAATAAAAATTATGTATAAAACGAAATAAATGCTGACAAAAATAAAAGGTGGAATTTTATAAAGTGAGCAGGAGGTTTATTTCATCTTTTCATCAATCACGTGAGGTTGGACCAAATTCATTAAATTAATTGAATTGATTGTAAAATTGAAATGCTTATAACCACGACTAACCACGACTTATAACTAATATCTACTATTTCTATATATGGCGCATCGCCTATACGAATATCTCAACAAAAATGGGACCAAAATGAGAGGTACTTTTTAGGCCTGTTCGTTTGTGCTTGCTCTACCTGCTGAACTTGATTTTTTTCTATGACTCTGTTTACATCATCCCATGAACAGAGACAACTATCGGAAAATAATCAGCAAGGCCGGAAAGTGAAGGATGGAAACAGCCATAGGGCGTTTTTCATTCCATCGAAGAAAGTGCGCACTGATAGATGCGGTTTTTTGTCGTGACGTCACCAATTGTTCTGTTGGAGAATTTATGCTGGAAGGATTGAACAATGGTTTATACAAGACAATGATGGAAATACGGATTTTGTTGTGTGTCAGTCATCATGTATCTTGAGAATCAGAAAAGGCTAATTCGACTTTATTGATTAACACTGACTCTTTCTTCTAAAATCTCTCAAGAATCTCAAAAATCCTCAATATTAATTGTTTTCTATCAAATCAAAACAAAAAACAACACTAAAATGTGTTAACTGTCATGTCAATCTCCTCCAAACTGCTGGATTCTCGAAATGCGATTTAAAAGTGCGCAATTTATTATAACAGTTTGATGGATGTCCATCAACATTCCAGCGGAATTTTGCAACAGTTTGATGGTTTCTTCGATTCATGCGCATGATAAAATGTTGGAATGAAAAACGCACCCATATTGGTTTGACAAGTTTCGTATTATTTTTTTCCTACGTCGGCATAGGGTGCGGGATGGGTGCGGGGGTGCGCGGAGGGGCGTGACGTCACTGTTTCCCCGCCGTGTGATTGTTATAATATGGTGATTGTAGTTTCGTTTTGTGTCACTGTCAAATGGATTGAAAAAATTTTTGAATTTGAATTCGAAAGAATCGCTTCGGACTTTAGTTGACAACATGGTGACAAGAAGACTGAAGATATCTTTGAAAGAGGGTGAGAGGTTGTATAATATGTCTTGCTACTAGTTTCAAGACTGGCGAGAAGTGTCTGAGAACTGAGAAGAAGATTGACATTACTTAGGCCTTATGGTCACTGTTTTAGTGTTTTGTTGTCACGATTCTGTGGTTATGTTATAAGTGGATGATGATTAGTGACATTAGTCACAATTACTAAATGTACTTGACACTGCTGTTCTGCCGTGTTTTGTATATAGGTCGCGTGCACGAAGACCGACCCTGGAGGCAAAATATTGAAACACAACCTCATTCTTCTGTGAATTATTGAAACACAACACCACTTTTTTATTTGGTTACAGAGGAATCAAAAGGTTGAAATAGTTTTTCACAATATTTTGGCATACGAATCGTGTTTCTTGCGTTATTCATTAATTCAAGAATGCCTTCGCATTGTGCTGTTGTACAATGCACAAAAAATGCAGCAAGAGACTAGGGAATATGATTTTTCAGGTAAATAGTAATCTCACATAGTTAGCATTATGAAATGTTGTCATTCCTTATTAAAACCCCTTCTGCCTTCTGCCACTTCTGCAATACAAGCTAATGCTGCTAATAGATTGAAAATGTCTACAACACACACGATCGTCAGCATGTCAGATCAGTCCTACCGATTGATTACATGAATCCAATCTTCTTGCATTATTCATTATTCTAGAAATTTCAGGTATATTTCTATTAGCTGATCCTATTGCAGAAGGAATTCCGATGAGAAATCAGAGAAATAACCAAATTTCAAAAATGAAAACTATGTGAGTGACTATAGTAGGTACTTACTTTTGAATCATAATGTACCATCCGGATTTCTTCATCTTCCGCTGCAGTTTTTGTGCATTTTACAACAGCACAATGTGATGGCATTAGCGAATTGATGAATAGCGGAAAAATACGATTCATATGCCAAAATAATTGTGGAAAACTATTTAGATCACTTGTAAACAAATATGTTTTGCCTCCAGGGTCGGTCATCTGACAGTTCTTGCACGCGACCTATAGGTCGCGTGCACGAAGACCGACCCTGGAGGCAAAATATTGAAACACAACCTCATTCTTCTGTGAATTATTGAAACACAACCTCACTTTTTTATTTGGTTACAGAGGATTCAAAAGGTTGAAATAGTTTTTCACAATATTTTGGCATACGAATCGTGTTTCTTGCGTTATTCATTAATTCAAGCATGCCTTCGCATTGTGCTGTTGTACAATGCACAAAAAATGTAGCAAGAGACTAGAGAATATAATTTTTCAGGTAAATAGTAATCTCACATAGTTAGCATTATGAAATGTTGTCATTCCTTAATAAAATTCCTTCTGCCTTCTGCCACTTCTGCAATACAAGCTAATGCTGCTAATAGATTGAAAATGTCTACAACACACACGATCGTCAGCATGTCAGACCAGTCCTACCGATTGATTGCATGAATCCAATCTTCTTGCATTGTTCTAGAAATTTCAGGTATATTTCTATTAGCTGATCCTATTGCAGAAGGAATTCCGATGAGAAATCAGAGAAATAACCAAATTTCAAAAATGAAAACTATGCGAGTGACTATAGTAGGTACTTACTTTTGAATCATAATGTACCATCTGGATTTCTTCATCTTCCGCTGCAGTTTTTGTGCATTTTACAACAGCACAATGTGATGGCATTAGCCAATTGATGAATAGCGGAAAATACGATTCATATGCCAAAATAATTGTGGAAAACTATTTCGATCACTTGTAAACAAATATGTTTTGCCTCCAGGGTCGGTCATCTGACAGTTCTTGCACGCGACCTATAAGAGTACGGACACTAGACAAGCAGTGACAATCAAACATAACCACAAACGATTTTGAAGCAAATCATATGTTTTGCCAGACAAGGACAAGAATAATTATGTTTTTTGCTTAGATAAAGGATCCTCGCATCTTCCTTCCTCCACAAGTCCTGGGAAGAGTACATCCATATATCTTTCTCTGTCTTTGATTTTTGTATGAGAGTGCATAGCGTCTCCTCAAGTGGGTAAAAGGGTACGATAAATTGATTAGAAAATTATTACTTCTCGAAATATTGAATGATAAGGCTGAAGGACCTCAATGGAGGTCGATATCAAGTTAGTAGGTACATAATATATTATATCAACGAAATACATATAGTATTCCTATGTCTTAGTCTCTTATATGTAGGTATATATATATTCGTTCAGTTGAATATTTGTTTATCACAAAAGTTCAGAAAGGGATAAAAACTGATACATTTCAAGAAACATACTTTTATTTATTGTGGAACAATGGGCGTGTACACCTTAGTTGAACTTTTAACTCAAACCATGTTTATAATGATCCTTTTATACATAAATAATGATTGACGACATAATTCGATCGAAAAATTAACTGTCATGTTTTATTTTTGGACATTAATAATAGTACCTTCTGAAAACGGACCCTCTCATGACGTAGAAACCTCATTTTCCCATAGTTAAAAGAAAATACCAAAAGATCGACGGGGACTGAGGCAACTGATATAATATTAATTCTTTCAACTGTGATCTCGCGCTAATTCACTCTGTCAGAAATCATGTATCATTCATCTCTGTCTGGAATAGTCTTGTTTCAGTATTAGGGTTTTGACGTCACATCATCGCTTCGTTTTCAGAGGTCCGAAAAATCACTAGAGTCTCGAGATCATACCCGTGTGTTCACCGAACACGCCCGATCGTTACCTAAGCGGCGGGGAGACCGAGACGTAAGAACGTAAGCAGGCAGCCATGATACAATGAGTGGACAGGCAGCTTCTCTCATGCTGTCTCTGTTTTTGTAGTACGGGGTGGGCCACCAACAGTTTTCTTGATCACATTTCAACTTTTTTTTTTCGAATAAATAAAAAACATTTGATAGGCATTAAGTGATCTACTGCGACCTATCAGATAATGAAAGCGATGATTTGATTTGCAATAATTCGCTATGTCACGACGAGTCCTACATGTAGATAGCGAACCACTCATCGAAAATCATGAAACTATATGTATGTACATATTATATGCTTATGTTTTGTTGGCGAGGACGCTCGTTTTATTCAAATTATTTTCGATAATGTTCATCTGCTTCACTAGAAATTATTATTAGTAGTTGGTAGTAGTAGTAGTAGTAGCAGCAGCTTTGTTATTCAAAATGGAACACCTTATATTTTATTACATTTTTCGATTCTTCTAATTGAGCTATGATTTCGTTGATCAAGCTCAAGGTATACCTATACGTAGAATGTGAAAAATCGTGATTTTTTTTGTATCGAAACTATACGATACCTATATTGATTTGTCAAAATGGCTTACATGTGTCCCTATCCTAACATTCTATTTACTATCTACTGATGCCATTTAATTGAAACAAATACAGGGTGGATCAGATTTCAGAAGTATATAAAAGAAGTACTAGTATGCCTACTAAAAAAATATATATATTTGAAATAAACAAAACAAATATATCACATAAAAAAACACACTCTTAATATTCAACATAAAATAAAATTCAATCCCACTGGATGTATTTAAAAATATAAACAGTGTGCATGTCACTTCTAATGGAATCAACCCGTTTATCTAACAACGTCGTAACTGTTCAATTTTCAGGAGCGATAGATATATATATATACCAACTATGACCAAAGTGACGTAATCTTCAGTGAAATACACTGCTCGGGTCATATGGACCCACCAACATTTCCGGAAAATGATACTAGGAGGCAAGATATAGGTTGAAAATCACTTCGGATTCGAAATCAGGACGTAACTCTGTACCTCGAAAACGAAGAGCAAGTTTAGGACACATGTTTATATGACCTTTATTCATCATATTATATCACAAAAGGAATCACCCCTTGAATTATTTCGGTGTTATTTAGTACACACTGTATAGATCATTCTTAATCCCAATATAGTTATTCAACATTTTTCCCATAGCGAAGTTCAGCAAATACCGATGGCGAGAGCACTATGTTTATTGATTTGATGTCTACCTATAATATATGTAAAACAAGAATAAGGCACAACAATCTTTGGCACAACTACTAGTGTTCCGTTTCGAAGTACATTAAATTGACAAATTTGACTCCAGAATAATTCTGGCACGCGCCAATATTCATAACGTAGTTAATACTGCTGCCTGTTTACGTCTCCCCACAGTCGGGCGTGTTCGGTGAACACACGGGTATGATCTCGAGACTCTAGTCGAAAAATCGGGGATTTCAATAATTTTTTATAAAACGTAGGGAGCTCACAGCAAGAAACAGTTTGCGGTGGTGAGCTAGTTTGGGTGAGTTCTATCGAATTATGAAATACATTTTTTTTGTGATATAAGCCCATTTCAGTTGTACAAGACTGGTAGGTAATGAGTAATTAATGAATAAACAAATGGTATGGCCACAATAACAGCTGATTTCAGTTAGGATGAATAATATAGGTTCTCCAAGACATACGGAAGTAGGAATAAATGGACTTCAGCGCGATCGCCGTTCACATTGCTAAAGGGAATTGTTGGTTGAAGCCGGCCATCGGAAGATCATTTTCAATACCATAAATGGTGCACTTGTCAAGCGTTCTAGTTCTGTGCTCTGATAATATCTTGCTCGTATCTTGGTACCCAAGAAGTGGTTCAAAATCCACTAGGAGCTATGTAGTCGTCTAGCACTTTTCAACTACGCATGAACATGCACATTCATTCCTCCTAATTCTCTCAATTTGTCAAACCTTTGAAATTTATGTCATGTACGTCCGTGTACTGTCAGTTCCCGCTTTTTCCATCAATTTATTAAATTTGTGGTTATGTCTGATTGTCGGTGCTTGACTGCTTGTCATAGCAAGTAAACGTCAAAATCAGCAGTGTCAAGTACATTTAGGAAGTCTAGTCACATTAGTATTTGGAAAAATTCTTTTTCTCGAGTATTTTAGTATTATTAATTCTCAATCACACTTATCAGTAGGTCGTATATATGAATTCAATATAAATGTCCGAAAAAGATTATGCTCCACTGAGCTCAGCATGTGTTCGAGCATTACATGATAAATTGTATGATAGACGAAAAACAGCTGCATTAGAAATAGAAAAGTATTTTTTCTCCTAACGGTAATCTATATTTCTTTACAATATAATATATATTTTTTAAGGATGGTTAAAGAATTTGCTGTTGTTAATAACACTGGCCAAATCAAACGACTTTTGAAAGTATTGGGGCAGGATTTTTCTTTGTCACAGAATCCACATGCCAGAAAAGGAGGCCTGATTGGTTTAGCTGCAATTGCCATAGCTCTAGGAAAGGTCCATATAAATGCAATAAATGCATATATAGTGTGAAATTCAATGCCAGACTACATTGTTAATTATTATAGGAAACTGAGTTATATGCTGATGAATTGATAAAACCAATATTAGGATGCATGGTGGATCAAGATTCACTAGTTAGATATTATGCAAGTGAATCACTGTACAATGTTGTCAAGGTTTCTAGAGGAGCAGTATTACCACATTTTTCTGCAATTTTCAATTCTTTAAGTAAAATAGCTACTGATCCTGACCAGAATGTGAAAAATGCTTCTGAGTTACTAGACAGGCTATTGAAGGTGATTATTTCAAATTATGATGAATTATTTGATAATCATGGTTGGCATTTTCAGGACATTGTAGTTGAAAGTACATCATTTGATTTGGATGGATTCATTCCACTATTGAGAGAACGGATATATACAAAGAATGCATTTTCAAGGCAGTTCATTATTTCCTGGATCTCAGTATTAAATACAGAACCAGGCTTGGATCTAATAAATTATTTGCCAGAAATTTTAGATGGGTTGTTCAGAATTCTAGATGATCCCAATATTGAAGTCAAAAAAATGTGTGAAACTTGTCTAGGAGAATTTCTTAGAAGCATCAAGAGTGATCCTACAAGAGTGAATTTTGGAGCTATGATCAACATTTTAATTAATCATGCCCAGGAGAAAGGTGATGATTTAGCACAAGTAAGTGTCAGCATCTTGGTCAGCATATATACAATTTTAGGTGCAGAATATCATTTCCCAACATTTTAGTTTACTGCAATTACTTGGATAAAAGAATTTGTGCAACTGTCAGGACTTGCAATGTTGCCATACATGTCTGGGATATTTACAGCTGTTCTCCCTTGTTTGGCATATGACATGGAGGCTAGGAGAAGTATCCTTAATTTTTATATAATTTTTTATACCTCACCTTGCTTTCAAAACTGAGTGAACAGATTTTGAAATTATTCTAGGGAAAAATTTGGGCAATTAGGGGTGGGTTTGGATCAGAGATTTTGTGGGTAACTAATCTCTTATGTAGACTCAATGTAGGAAAAGGAGATCAAATATCATAGATATGTGATAATGAGTAATAATTTCTAATGGACATTCCTATTGAATGTTTCCAAACCCTTTTGAACAGTAGAGAAGTTATTCATGTTTTATTCACCATAGCTGTTTGCCTTGCTATTTTTTTTTTCATTGCATTCCCTCTGTGGTCCCAGCACTAGATCCAATGCCCCATAAGTCAAAACTTGTGTAGGGTTAGAGAAGCATACATTTACAAACATCCATGGTCTAACTGGGATTTGAACCCATGCCTTGGTAGGAGTCCCCATACAAACTCAGAGCCTTTGGGCTCTTGACCACTGGGGTAATTTGAAAATATTATAATTAATAATGAGTTGGTGGAGATTATGGAGTTATTTAAAAACTGAAAACTAGGAGTAAATTCACTAGAGTGGAAATTGATACATATATATGATCTATATGAGCTATTAAGGGAACAGTTCATGTCAGTATAGAAGAAAGAGATTATGCTATGTAGAAGTAGGAACTTCCATAATTTCTAATTTTTTGTGTTTCCTGATGGTTGGGTATCTTCTTACATAAATTCACCTTAATAACTTTTGATATGGAGTTGATTGTGTTATGGTAGTCACTTTTATGAATACACAAGGATTCCTTCATACCTTCAGTACAAAATGAAATGATGCATTTTGTGGGGATCATAAAATGTGAGAAAGATACAATTTTAAAATCAGATATTTTAAACAAAATATCTGAAATCTACTTGAATGAAGTGATGCATTTTGTGTGGATTATAAAATGTAAGAAAGATACAATTTTGAAAACATAGATATTTTAAACAAAATATCTGATATATGTATACTTGATGAGCAATGAGAAAACTTTAACATTGACAGCTATTTGTTTGGAATCCTATTGTTTGACAAAATCACAAAATAAAGTTTGTGAGGAATCAACCACATGTTAAAGTTAGAAGGTCCAAATGCATTCTAGTCTGCCCAAGTTAATCCTCATCGGTAGTATGATTCATTTCCAATTCATAATCTAAAAGTACCCAGTTTTGTTCACTTCATGCCATTATTTGCAATCATTTATTCCTGGTTTCTCCAAATTTTCTTTCACTATTCAAATTGTTATGATCCATTGATGACTAATTTTCATCAAGATAAAATTGAACTGAAAAATGAAATGAAAATGTACAGGGTGATTCAAACTTTCCGCCCTTGACTCATTACAGAAAAAGCAAAACTGCAAATGCAAATTTGGAAGATGGAAGAATTTGAATAGCTGTATGTAAGGTATATTTTTCAACCATTTTCAAAATGGCGGAAATGGCGTTAGAAAATTTATTTTTCCTACAATGTTACCATTTTTTCTATAATTTTGAAAGAACATATTTTTTTGAACAACTTTCAACCAAAAAGTTTTTTCTATCTTCATTTGGTTGCTGTGGGACTCTGAAAGGCATTTTCAAACAAATTACGTCGGCCGGGACACAAATTGTTACTAAACAATTGGGATACGTTTTGCATTCCTATTAAAACCCATTAAAACTGAAACCCCACTGACTTGATTCTTATTATGGTGGGATCAGTTGAAATTTATTCAAAAATACCAATGTTCAAACATTGAAAATAACTGTGTGGATAAAAGTTATTAATAAATAAGTTATTTGAGAATAGGAAAAAATGGTAACTGGAAAAAATATTTTTTCTGACGTAATTTTGAGAAGGGTTGGAAAATGTTTAAATGCAAGAAAATATACCTTACACACAGCTATCCAAATCCCCTCTGCCAAATTTGAATTTCCAGTTTTCGTTTTCCTGTTATAAGCCAAGGGCGTACGTCAAAACTGTATCATTATAAACCAGCAATCAATTTCTATTTACCTTGAAAATATATAATGTATTCAGTTTTATTTCCAATTCCCAGTAAACATTTTGCAACTCATAAACAACTCAATGTTTCATGATAAGGAATACAGCAGATAAATGCTTTCAGTTCATAATGTGTGTTGTTGAATACCTTATAAATACTATGATTCAATGAAACAATCAAGAAGAAATATGAATAATGTTTACTATAATGTGTATAAAAAGTTGCTATCTAGTGAGTACCTACTAGAGAACAGTTGTATTTAAATTATATTTCAATAATCAGTGCATTTGGTCAGATATGTTCTAATCACAATTATTATTACATATCACAGGGTGTGCCTCTTATGATGAAACCTCCCTCAGTTTGTTTTCTAGAGATAATTAAAAATATCATGTTTTTTTATATCTAAAGGGTATCTCGTTTTTCCGGCATGAACATCAACTTTGAATTTTGAAATGGAACCTTATATACCGGGTGTATCACGACGATTAAGACAGATAATATCTTGGAACTCGAGAGTAGTAGAAAGTTGTAATTTTGGGGCTGTGAATCCTGATATTATATCACACTTGTGATTTAAAACGATTAATTTAAGAACTACAGGTACTTCAATCTCCTTTGTCCCACGACGAATACGACAAACGTCTGAAACGAGCAATTGTCAAATTATTTACATTTAGGGTCACCCTGTATATTTGGGCAGTCCTATATTTTTAGTGAAGATTAAAACAATAATCATTTATATTTTATTGAAAAATGTGGTCATGAAACTTTGGGGCAAATGACATTAAAGTGCCTGTAGTTCTTGAATAACTGATCGTTCAAGTCCACAAGTGTGATAGTTTGTTGGAATCGTTTCATCGGGAGGAACATAGAAATGCCAAAATATACATCCCATTAATAATTTTGAATCTGATGTCACGTGACTGAAAACAGAAAGCTCATTGGGTAACATAATATTAAAAAAAGCTGCACCAATTGCTTTAATTCACAACCCCAAAATTACAATTTTAAACTACAGTCTTCAAAATATCTAATGGGGCGCGTCAAAGTAAAAAAGTACGTTCGGGGATAAAACCGACAAAACTTATGGGGTTACAGGGACTGCCAATATGATTGCAAAATGCCATTTACAAATGTCCAAAACCGCTTCGTAACTGACACATGGATTGATTGATTGGATTCATGGATTTTGACATAAAATTCAATCCGTCATATTAAATATACTCAAAAAAATACTCAACGCATCCCTCTTGCCATAAAGGTAATAGCGTGAATTTACTAGGGATCTAAACTAAATTGGGACCATCATATTGAGCTATTACAGAAAAAACTGTCAAGTACCATATTTCTTCTCAGACAACTCAGGAGTATCATGAATTCTGTAACTTTAAAAACTGTCTACTTTTCTTTATTCCACAGTGATATAAATTATGGCGTTTTATTATGGGGAAACTCTTCTCATGCTCCTATCATATTTCGCCAGCAGAAAAAGGCAATAAGAGTAATGGCCAATGCATATTATAGAGAACACAGTGAAACCTTATTCATCGCATATCGCATATCATGCCATTACCAATTTTGTTTATCTATAACACACTTCAAGAGGTTCACAAACATTCTAACATACTCAGAACGCATAGTGATATTCTCAGAAAAACTCCTTGGATTACAACATTTACAAAATATTGCCTCATAAAATTAAAAATCTCTGTTTCATCAAATTTAAGAATAAAATGAAGCAATATCTCCTGGAACATTGCTTCTAGTCACTGGAAGAATATTTTCAGGCTGATCATGAGGAACTACTGGCTTGAGTATTAATATGGATGAAGTACCTCTCAATATGTTCTGTATTTCATTTTTTTTTTCATATTTGTTCTCTATTTTTTATCTGTATCAATATTTTCATATTGTTTGTCTTTTAACTTCATTTTATTTACAGTTCTATTTTTTTTATAGTTCTAACTCCTTGACTACAAATGTACAGTGTACGTAATGTGGTAAAATAAAGTATTCTATTCTATTCTATAGGGATTACCCGATTGCGAGCCCGATTGTGTTCAAATTTGGTACATAAATTGAACTCAAAGGCTTCAACACGTAGCCTTTTGAACGAAACTAATATCAGGACCGGAATATTATTTTTTCCTATGTTGAGCTATTGTGAGAATAACTCACCGTATATAAAAATTATTAAAAGTCTAAGGTCATATTATGAATCTACGGAAAAAATACTATAGGAACTTGTTGAGAAAGTTTCTGGCAGGATATCCGTCATTCCGTAATAAATTATTATTTATTTTTTTTTCATTAAATGGCGGATAAAATATCAGCAAGTATGGAAATATAATAAATATTTACGAAACCAAAACATAATTGTTGTTATTCTCTCCGATAACTCCCTAGATATATTTTATAATTTATTGTCTTGACCCAAAAAAAAAACTGAAGAATACATTCGTATCACGACCGGAATGACTCTTGTCTTGTGTGTGTCCCTAAAAGGTCTATACAAAATCTTATACATAGTCCTGGGGTCAAAATTAGCTGATTTGAAGCAATTTACCTCTGTCCGGCATTGCTCCGTTACAGGATGGTAAATTTAAAAAATTAAAATTAACCCCAAAAAAGTATTTTGGAAAATCCATTTTTGCACTACTCATTCACTAACCAAATGACATCCACAAAGATAACAGCAAACATATATTTTTTTTCAAAATGATTCAAAGATTCCGGTGCGGCACCGAACCGAAATATCTCGAAAACGGCTTTCTTTAGCAAATTTTTACAGGATTAACTTTTTTGCTTAGAAATATTTAGGTCATTTATCAACAAAAAAATGTTCATAAATTTCGAGAAAATTCGATTATTATTTTTTAAATTTACCACCCTATATCTCAGAAATGGAGTGATTTCGGACTCAGGTAAGTTGCTTCAAATCGGCTTATTCAGACCTCAAGACTATGTTCTAAAATTCTGTCC